GGTGGATTGATTCAGTGACTGGGATAATTGGGATGGGAGTGTCAGAGACAGTGCGATTGGCACAGGACAGAGCGGAGTTTAGGGCTGTTGTATATAGGGTCGCTATGAGTTGCAGGCGACTCGACGGCACATAACAACAACAACATATGATTGTTAGGAGTGGATAAAATATTATACCTTTTATTCTTATTGATCAAGATAGAATGCAATAAAGACATGAGAACAATCAGGCTAGTTTGCTGGCAGTCAGGACCTACATCTACAGTGAACTTTTGTGAGCATAATAAAGTAAGCATAGAGCCTTTTCTGTGCTTGATACTCAGTAAAGGTGATTACCACACATTGTGCTTAATGCTGTACTCTGATTCCAAGGGTTCTTGTTAAGCAATGTTAAATAGCTGGATTAAAAGGATTCTAGCTAGATTCTTTGTAGGTATAGGAACAAGGGGGAATTTCTCTGGTACATTTATTATCTTCTTGAAGCCAACATGTTTTCAGTATCCTACTTCTAGAAAGAAAAAAAAACAACTACTTGTGGTGCTTGTCTTTTAAGAATCTTTGTGTAGACTCTGTGCCTGTGTGTCATGGCCAGCTGTAAAAAGCTTTTTGGTATATTGTTTTGTTACTTTCATTTACTATAATAGAATAAACACACTAGTAGCCATTACAAAGACAAATGTGAAGAAAAAATAGAAGCCAGAAAGAAAAAAATTCCTTTTAAAAGTCCTTTTAGTGAGTTAGCAGAACCCCTAAAAATCTCACTAGAACTGGAAGGAAGGTCCTTCTATTAGGTATTCTTAGTATTTCTCTTTTAACAGGAATAGTAGAAATGGCTTCTGGGGAAAAGTGCAAGTGGTAAGGGAAGGTTTAACAGCTAGAGTTATCTCCCTCAGAAGGAAGAAGCTATTGCTCAGTCCTGAATTGAGAGATTGATCCACAGCGCAGGGGCTGTCACCTTACATGCGAATGAGATGCATACTTCTTCTACCCCAGTGAACAGAGTTCTTGGCTGTACAAATGTTTAAATGCTCCAATGATAGTCAAAAAGTTGGTAATTTGAACCCACTCAGTTTTACCTCAGTAGATAGGCCCAGCAATTTTCTACTGACAGTCACAGCCTTGAGAAGCCTACAGAACAATTCTATTCTGTGCAGGTGGGATCTCATAGGAGTCAGAATTAACTAAATGGCAACTAACAATATGCTTCATTGAAGAAATTGTATCTTGAGAGGGCCCAGAGTCTAGGTTTACATCAGTGAACAACAAACCAAATAGAATAAGTATTTTAAAAAATATTTTTGTGATACTGTTGTGAAAAAACCCCCCTCAAAATCAGAAAAGAAAAACACTTAAATGATAAGAAGAAAGTGTATAAAGTTACATTAAGAAACAAACCAGAGGAGATGAAAAACAAACAATGAAGGTAGGTGAGAGATTTCACTCTGGTAGCATAGTAAATGCAAATTAAAGCAGTCGTTAGATTTCTCCCATCAAATATTTAAAGATAATTATTAAAGGTAATTATTTTAAAATAATGATTGCTACTGGAAGTAAAGAGATTTGAATAGACTCCCACCCTATCTGTCAGTATAAATTTAAGTAACCTCTCTGGAACACAATATCTTATTATCAGTCTTAAAAATTATATCATTTGAGTAAAAGAAGTTACCATAAATCTGCACTGATATAAAATACAGAAACAGATCTAATGCTAAAAATCAGTAAGTGAAAGTATAATGAGAAATCAAGTATTTTCATAATCTCTGCATCTCTTCATATGATACTTATTAATTGAAAATTATATGAGCCTTCAATATGGATTGCATTTCAATTTCAAGAAAGCAAAGATTCTTACCACTGAACCGATAGGCAACATCATGATTGTTGGATAGAAGACTGAAACTGTCAACAATTTCATCTTACTTGGCTCCACAATTAATACTTTTGGTACCAGCAGTCAGGAAATTAGGAGACATATTGCACGTGAAAAGTCTGCATTTAGGGACTTCTCCAAATTATTGAGGAGTAATGATGTCAGTTTGAGGACTAAGGTGCGTCTAATTCAGGCCATGGTCTTATCACTTGCTATACTTTTGAGGGCTGGACAGTGAATAAGGATGATAGAAGAAGAATTGATGTCTCTGAGCTGTGGTGTTGGAGAAGAACAATGAACATGGGCAAAAGAACAAATAAATATGTCTTGGAGGAAAGGATGAGGAGCTTCATGTCACATTCTTTGGGCATGCTGCTAAAAGGGCCTATTCTTTGGAGAAGGACATGATGCTTGGAAGGGTGGAGGGTCAGCAAAGAAGAGGAAGACCCTCAACCAGGTGGACCGACGCATTGACTGCCACAGAGAGCTCTTTCTTATGTATTGGGAACTGTGAGGATGGCACAGGATAGGTCAGGGTTCAAATCTGTTGTTCATAGGATTGCTAAGAATCATCTTCAACAGCACCTAACAACAACAACAGTTGTAGTGGAGAAACATGGCTGGCACTACTTTAACCAATTGTTAAACATCAATGATGAGATAAAGCAATATGGTGCCTGCTAATAAGCACTAGAAAGGACATGTCATCATTTCTGTGACATTCATGCCAACGGTGCATATATCCTGAATTTAAAAAAGGAAGTAACATCAGAAATACCCAAATTGAGGGACAGCCTACAAAATAACTGGCTAACACAGCTAATACTCTTAAAACATGTCATAGGTTTTAAAGAAAAAAACCAAACCAAGGAAAATCCCACAGAGGAAGTGTCTTAGGTAGGAGGAAACTAGAGAGTTTATATAAGCATGACAACTAAATGAAATATGACATTATAGATTGGATCTTGGGCCAGAAAAGGGACTTTCGAAGTAAATTGGAAAAAGTAATATAAGACTTGTGGATTAGTTAAACAGTTTTATATACATCTTAATTTCTTTAATTTTGATTATTGCTATCATGGCTGTAACTGGAGATGATAGAGTATATGAAAACAACTTGCTTGGGTCCACAGTCAACTTTCTTGGCCCTAAGGAAGTCTGTTGTCAGGAACTCTCTAAAGTGCTAAAGAGTAGTGATGTCAGTCTAGGGACTAAAGTGCATTTGATCCACGTCGTGGTCTTCAAAATTTCTTGCCATGCATCAGAGGGCTGAACAATGACTAAGGATGAGAGAAGAAGAATCGATACCTTTGACATGTGCTAGAGAAGAGTACTGAACATACCATGAACCACCAAGAGAACAAATGAGTCTATATCAGAGAGGATGAAATCAAGTTTCTCCTTGGAAGCAAGGATTTTGAAGCTCTCGCTCACATATTTTGGGCATGTGGCTAGAAGGAAACAGTCCTTGGAGAAGGACATCGTGCTTGGAAGAGTGGAAGAACAGTACAGGAGAAGACAACCCTGGATGAGATGAATTGACATGGTAACTGGGGTGATGGGGTTAGAGGTGTGGAAGTCAGTGAGAGTGGCTCAGGGTAAGGTAGGCTTTAGAGCTATCGTACATAGTGTCAGCAGGCTACTTGATGACACATAACAACAACAACCCCCACCTTTTTTATCATTTCTTTGTAAATGTGAAATTATTACAAAATGAATACTTAGAAAATTTAAAAAACATAAAGCTTTGTATTTGTTTTTCATATTCAGACTCAAGCAGGTAGTCCAGAAAAGCCAACCAATCTAATATGGCCTGACTCTTCTACTTCTGATGAGATTCTGGGACTTAAAAATGAAATTCAAGTTTTACAGCAACAAAATCAGGTGATTCATTTTTTTCTGTATTTTATGTGCTTTTTTGTGGCTTGTTTAAAGATAAAATATATTACAGTGTTCTCAAAGACAGAATGGCAATGTGAGATATTAACAAGTTTATTAGTCAATAATTATGGATAGCTGTTACTATCCTATGGTCATTGGGCAGTTTTCTCAAAATGTAAGTTAACATGATTCTAGTTTCTTTATTGTAATTACTAATTCCTACTTACTAATAAAGGTATTTATTACTATGCAATTACTAATAGAGGAATTTACTCTTCCTTGTTTAGCTAGGCTTTGACCCCAAATTAAAACCTTATTAATTTGGATTATTACTAAAGATAGTCTACTAAGACTTTAGGCGTTAATTAGGCATACTTCTGTGTTTAAATATTTTAATTTAGTATATTTCAAAATAAATACAAGATTTGAACTACTGCTCCTGTCAGAAAGTTACTAGTTAGAGAAAATGGACCTAATCTCTTTTTAATGGCTTGAGATATTTTTTGTTTTGTAGAATAGTGACAATATGCTAACTAATGTTAATATGGCAGATGATTAAAAAATTTACATTAATCAATGAAAATGATCTTTATTTTTTTAAAATGTTTTCTGGATTTATTTTTTACCTAGGAACTTAAAGAAAGTGAAGAAAAACTGAGAAATACAAATCAGGACTTATGTAATCAAATGAGACAAATGGTCCAAGATTTTGACCGAGATAAGCAAGAAGTTGCAGATAGGTAAATTTTCTATAGTGGTCCAATACCTGTTTCCCCATCTACTTTCTCTTTCCTTACCCTACAAGAAGATTTGAGAGAAATGGTGGCATGAACCTGCTCTTCTGAAAAACTGGAGAAGATAAATCCCTGACTTCTCTAATTAGAATTTGGAACACATATTCCATAGAAACAGAGTTATATAATGAGTGTGTTCTACCAACATGACCAAAACTAGATTTCACAGAAGTATTATAACCTAGATTTTCTGTTTTTCTATTTTGTTTCCTGTTAAGGCCTGTCAGGGAATCAAACTATTCTTTATAAAGAGATATCTGTGAGAAGAAACTATGACTTCCAAGTACCAAGTCATAAACTTGGAAACAGATCTTTGGAGAATAACTTACTTGTGAGTTGGGTGCTTCTAATATTTGTAGCTAGTAGAGAGGACTTAGACTTTTCAACTACATCCTCAATACTTTTAAATAATTTTTTTTAAAAATAGGATACATTATTAGTTTCTGTAATCAAGCCCATGTAGAAAAGACCTTACATATTTAATACAGTGCATTACCTCTGTGAAAATGGGGTGGGCGGTTAAGCTTAACATTTCTAGACCAATATGGCTGTTAATTTTTGTACAATGCCAACTCAACAGGTACAACTGGGATTCTCTTTCCAAAGGTGACAGCACAGTTAAAATTTCCAAAAATTCAAATTGTGTGTGTGTGTGTGTGTGTGTGTGTGTGTAAGAAGACCAAACAATGTGTTCTGCATCAATAGCAGCAGCAGCTTTTCTAGGTTCTGCAGTTATTGAAACAAAAATAATAGACATCCAGCACAGTCCATTAAAAAAAGTACGAAACAAAACCTATGAAAACAGCAAAGTTCTGTTTCTGTTTGGGTACCTGGCACCATTTTTTAAAAAAACTTCTTTCTCATTCATCATCTCGAAAGAAAATATTCTAGAATAACATCACTAAAAGAAAAACTCTGATATAGCATGGTCACTATTTCTTGTTTTAAAATTGGTACAAGATATTTTACACTCACAGAGATTGGATACAATACGGTCCTATGTTAAGTAATTTTTTAAAACAGAAATTTTCAATGTTGTTGTTGTTATGACCCATAGAAACCCTGTGTGCCCTGTCCTGAGCCAGTTTCACTAATTCCGACACACCAACCCCCATTGCCTTGGTCACTGTATCAGTCCATCTCATCTGGGGTCTTCCTTTCCTGAGCTGACCCTCCACCCTTTCAAGCATGATGTCCTCCAAGGACCTGTCTCTCCTGGCCACGTGACCAAAGTTTGTGAGATGGAACTTCAAAATCCTAGCTTTTAAGGAGAGATTTGGTTTCATCCTCTCCAAGACAGACCTATGTATTTTCTTGGTAGTCCAATGCATGTTCAAGATTCTTCTCCAGCACCACAATTTGAAGGCATCATCGATTCGTCTTCTGTCATCCTTAGTCATTGTCCAGCTCTCTGATATGTAGCAAGTAATTGTGAAGACCATGGCCTGGATTAGGTGCACCTTAGTCTGACATTGCTTTTCTGCACTCTGGAGAGGCCCCTGACAGCATATTTTCCAAATGCAGTTTGTCTTTTCATTTCCTGACTGCTAGTGTTAAAAGAGTGCTGAGTGTGGAACTGAGAAAGCTTTAATTGTTAACAACCTCAAACTCTTCTCCAGTTGGCACAGTGGTTTAAATCTTTGTCTTCTTAATGTTAAGCTTCCATCTATATTGAAGACTACAGTCCTTGACCTTCTGCTGTAAGCGCTTCAGGTCTTCAGTTTCAGCAAGCAAGGTTGTGTCAACTGCATAATGTAGGTTGTTGTTGAGTGTTCCTCCAATCCTAATGCCACTTTCCTCCTCATAAAGCCCGGTTTCCCAAATGATCTCTTCTGCATATTGATTAAAAAGGTATGCATCCCTGATGCTCTCCTTTCCTCATTTTGACCATACCGTGTTTCCCTGCTCTGTTCTAATGACTGCATAGACTCTTGTATTTCTGCTTGAAGAACTGGGGCATTCTCAAATTAAAGTTTCCAGTTATTTTGTAGAAACACTTGAAGAAAAAATTTTGAAAATTCTTATAGATTATCTGTAGTAAATTCGTTACCACTGTGGTTGGAGAAAGCAATCTAACTTTAATTAATTTACATTAGACAAAAGGGATGTCAAGGAAAACAAGTTCATTTTAGTGTTTCTAGTAATGAGGGCATTTCCTTGCTTCTACTTTCTGATTCTAGATGTGAGAGGACTTACCAGCAGCACCATGAAGCCATGAAAACCCAAATCCGTGAGAGCCTGTTAGCAAAGCATGCTTTGGAGAAGCAGCAGCTCTTTGAGGCTTATGAGGGGACCCGCTTGCAACTTAGGTGAGCTTAAAAAAAACCACTTGCCCTAATTTTAATATTTGTTGTTGTTAGGTGCCATTGAATTAACAACTCTGTGAACAGCATATCTGAACCCTGGCCTATCTTTTGCCATCCTCACACTTCCTAACACACTCGATCCCATTGCTGCAGTCACTGTGTCTATTTTAATATATTTCCTCTTTTTGTTACCTTCAGGGAAATTACATATTGTATAGTAGCCCTTGTAAATTTTTTTGGTTAAGTTTCTCCCTTTGTATATCTAGGTCTGACTTAGATAAGCTGAATAAGGAGATGACCACTGTGCAGGAATGTTATCTGGCGGTGTGCCGAGAGAAGGACACTCTTGAGTTGAATCTCAGGAAGACGATTGAGAAGGAACAGCAATCCCGGGAGGAGAAGGTACAGTAGAAATTTTCTTTTCTTAGTCCTTAACAATATTATTTAAACTTGATGTCTTATGAAATGGGAAGAGGGTACATAGAGGTCTCTTTACTTTTGACTATATCACTCTAGTAGAGCTCATAAAACTTAGTAAATGTTAGAATGATTATTAAAGCCTTTAGTAGGAAAAAATCAAACCCAAACCTGCCGTCAGGTTAAGTCTGACTCATCCCAACTCTTACCAAGTTTCCAAAGAGGTAAATTTTTATGGAAGGCGACTGCTTGTTCTCCCATGGAGCACCTGATAGGTTTGCACTACTAGCCTTTATGTTAGCAACACAACATGTAATAAATTATGTCCCCAGGGCTCCTTTTTGTAGTAAGGTTATATTAGTATGTGGAGAGAGTCCGTTCTAATTGATAACAAAACCATGTGTGTCAGTAAGGCTGTGAGAGTTTTCAGTGGCTTTTTACAATAATAGATTGCCAGCCCTTCCTATGCATGAAACTCTGGGGGCTTAGTGGTAAGGAACTGCACTGCCAATGCAAAGACTCAAGATTTGCATCCACCAGCTGCTCCACAGGAGAAAAATAGGCAGTCTCTTCCTGTGTGATTTACTGAAAACTCACTAGAGGACCAATTGTGGGTTGGTTTCAGGTTGACGGTGGTACATCACTACCACCACCACCAGGACTCAGGTGCACCTCTTTTTCTTCTCTAGCAATGCTGCAGATTAATAAAACTGGCTCTAGGGAGTTGTACTCCATTGATAACACCTAACAACAATTGACTGATAGTTTGACTTGTGAATGTTTGAGCATAAGTGAAGTAGAAAATACTATTATTTGATCCTATAGAATTTTTGGTTTATCTTCTTTAAAATTGAAAAACTGAGTAAAATGAACATTTTTCTTTTGTTTTATAGTTCTGTGATGTATAGATTATATCTGCATGTGCAGATTAATCAAGATACAAAACTGCTTTGTCACCTTTACACATTCCCTCATGTCATCCCTTTGTAGTTATATCTACTCTATCATTTTTGGCAAGTGGCATCTGCCTCTCTATTCTGTCATAGTATTTTGTCTTTTCAATGCCATATACTTGGAATTGTTTAGTATGTGAATTTTTGAGACCAGCTTCTTATACTCAATATATTGTCATTGAGATTCTTTCATTTATTCCATTTTTCTGTGTATTAAGAATTTGTTCCTTAGTCATTAGTAGTTCACTTTATGAATGCATTACAATCTGCTTTTCTATATACCCATGACATTTGAGTTATTTCCAGTTTTTGGTGATTATACATTGTTAGTTGTTAGTAATTGTCATAGAATTGTCTGTTAACTCTGTACAACTTTGTGTTATGTGGTGGTGGTTGTTGTTAAGTGCCGTCGAGTCATAGATGACTCATAGTGACCCTACGAATGAAAGACTTGGACATTTGTGTAAGTTTTATTGTTTCTCTGAGTTCATAGTGTTTCTGGAGGCAAGCTATTTCAGAAGTGGATGCCACTCCTGCTTCCAAGCTTGTTTTAATCGGGGAGCTCCACCAAACACTGTCCACCATGAGTAACCATTATCTCATTTGACACATCGGTGTCACAGTGTTCAGCATCACGGCAACCACGAGTTGCCTCTGTACAGCAAATGGACAGATCATTGCTATACGACTTAGAAGAATGTTTGACCAAAAACAATTAAAAACCAGTCCTGAGTGCCACAGATTAAAATCACCTACCTTTGGCTTGATAGTATTGCTTTCTGTCCACTAAGCCAACTGAGCTCTCGTTATGTTATTGTTGTTAAGTGCTATTTAGTTGTAGATAACTCACAGCAACCCTATGAACAAAAGACCTGAACCTCGGGCCCAACCAAATTTAAGAACTGAGGCAAGGTTCAAACTCCATGAGCTCCAACATTCCACATTTTCCCGTAATCTTCCTCAATCTCCTCCTATTCTGATGCCACATGTTTATTCATATAATCTTACTTATGGAAAGATTTGTTCAGCATATAGACTGAATACAGTTGAGGAAAGGATAAAGTGTTAATGCACATCTTTGATTTTAATCCATTGTATAGTCTCTTGCTCTGTTTGTATAACAGCTTCTTGATTTAGGTATACGTTTCATGTTGTTGTTGTCGTTGTTGTTGATTACCATCGAGTCTTGCATGACTTATAACAACTCAATGAACACAAGACCTGAGGCCTTTCCATAACTATTGTTTCTCCAAGTTTATAGAGTTTCTAGAAGTATGTGGTTTAGGAAGTGGATGCCACTCCTGCTTCTGAACCTCTCTTAAAACTTGGAGCTCCCCCAAACACTGTCCATTATGGCTTATGAGACCCCAATGGTAAAAGGTTGAGCATCACAGCAAACCCAGATTACCTCAGCACAGCAAATTGACAGAAAAGTGCTGCATGACTTAGAAGAATATTCCTCCAAATTATAGTATCAAAAGATTAAAAGGTAATCCCTCAGACCTGACTTCTTTTTAAAAAAGGGGGGAGGGGGCTCCAGAAGGTTTTGTTGACTCTAAAGAAGAGGCTTTAATAGTAATAAAAAACAAACCAAACCAAAAGAAAAACATTCTACAATGACCCTCAACCAAAACAAGAGAGCCCATCTTAGAGTCCAGTCGCTTCACCCAGTTTCCAAAACGGAGACAAAGGTCTTGGGCTTAAATTCAAGTGTCCTCCTGGAGGAGGTCTTATTGACTCTAAATAAGAGGCTTAAATAAAGAAACAGTCTACTTAGACCTTCAGCATGCCATCTTACAGAATCGAGTCAATAGAAGTCCAAAATGGAAGAAGAGGGCTTGGCAGTATATATTGTTGTTGTTGTTAAGTGCCATCTATTACTGAACCCACGAACAAAAGACTTTAACCTTGTTCTATCACTATTGTCCTTTCTCTAAGTTCATAGAGTTTCCACAGGCATGTTCAGGAAGTAGATGCCACTTCTGCTTCCAAGCCTGTCTTAATGTGTTAGCTAACCAGCTATTGTCAACCATGTGTAACCATTATGGCACTTGACAGACCAGTAGCACAATGTTCAGTATCACAGCAATCTATTAGTTACCTCAATACAGAGAAATGACAGAATAGTGCTGTACCACTTAGGAGTATTCATTTCAAAAATAATAACAACCAGGCCCTCGTGCCTGTGACCCTCGGGCCCAAATGAATTTAAAAAGGCTACAGGTCTGCCCATGCTTCACGTTCCCATCGGTTCAAAGCACAAGGCCTACGGCCAGCCAAACAGGGCCCAAGACCTCCTCCACCAAGAGAGAAAGGGCTCTATGTATAACAACAAAATTTTTGCCCTGTTCTGTGCCATCTTCATGATTACTGGTATGCTTGAGTTCATTGTTTGGCTACTTCGTCAGTCCATCAGATTAAGGATTTCCTAGTTTTTGCTGAAGCACTACTAAGCATGATATACTTTTCTAGCTATTTGTTGTATCTCATGACATATCCAAAGTAAACTAGTTGATATCTCCCCAGTATTACTTCTACAGAGCATTCTATATTTTTTAATACCAATTTGTTCTTTTGCCAGACCAGAGTATGTTCAGTATTTTTCACCGATGCTACTTTTAAATATGTAAATTTTTACAGCTTTTTTTTTCATTGTCCAGCATGTGAGGAGATTGAAAAGAATATGACTTGGGTCAAATGCACCTCAGTCATCAAGCTAAGTGATCAAACATCTTGGCTTCTTAGAACTTGAAAGAATTAGTCTTTGAAACAGGATTTGTGTGAACAAAATGTTTTATTTTTCTTGAGTTAACAATTAGAAAAATGATTCCTGAGTTTTATATATAAAGCTTCAAGCCTTTTCATAAGGTCGCTATGAGTTGTACTCGACTCAAAGGCAATGAACAACAGCAATAATATCTCTAGCTCTAGCTCTGTCTCTGGCTATACCTATATCATCTATCTATCTATCTATCTATCTATCTATCTATCTATCTATCTATCTATCTATCATCTCATCTACTAGATGTGTGATTAGCTTTGTAAGAACTACAAAAGGAATTGGCAAGCAGTTTGCAATCATTGACTAACACAAAGATTGGTGAATCAAACTCATCCAACACTTATGCGGAGGAAAAGGCTTGGGACCTGCTCATTTAATGTTGACAACCAAGAACCCTCTGGAGCCATTCTACACTGTTGCAAATGGGATTGCTGTGAGTTAGTGGCAAACAGCAACATAAACTCGAAAACTTATTTCCAGAGTGGCTGTTCGATTTTGCATTCCAATTGGCAGTGGATAGAAGTTTTGTTTTCTCTGCATCTTCTCCACAATTGAATATTATCGATACTTTAAAAAAAAAAAGAACATCCTAGCAGGAGTGGCATCCACTTCCTAAACAGCATGCCTCTGGAAACTCTATGAACTTTGATAAATGTTGATAGTTGTAGAGGGGCTTCAGGCCTTTTGTTCATAGGGTCTCTATGATTTGTGTTCGACTCAAAGGGAATCAACAACAGTAGATATGTCATGGTATATTACTGCCCTTCTAATGTACCTTTCCTTACTGATTGTGATGTTGAACATTTTTATTTAATTGAGATTTTAATGAAAGTTTATAGAGAACTTGGATTTCCATTCATTCATTGTTGTACATGTTCAACATTTTTGTGTATATATACTTCT